AAAAAGTCCATACTAGATACCGCAATACTTTCATGTCCTATAAAATTTTTATAGGTCCCGCTAAAATATAGGCTTCGTCACGTCGATATTCCTGGTTCAAGTAACGGTTCAAGCAAACGCGGCAGGGATCACGGGATGACCATGGCGGGATCTGTAAAACAAGAAACGGTTGGTGGGAAGGAACTTTCATCTCCCGCCACGATCATCCCGTGATCCGTGCCGCGTTTGCTCGATCCTCCCCGAGCATCTCCACGCCACCTCACCAGAATACCTCGATGCCGGCGACCACTGGACTCTAGGAGGAGACGACGGAAGTGGCGGCGCTGCTTGATCCTCCCCGCACGAGGAGATGACGGAAGTGGCGTAGCTGCTGCCGCCGCCGCATGCCGCGTGAGGATTCGGTTGCTTTTTCTTTTTATGTGTGAGGGTGTTTTATGCTATTTTATGGGGATCCTTTTGTAAATTCAATTGGTACGGAATCTATTTTGCGGACATACAAATCGTATAGTAAATTCTCACAAATTTATTTTAGGGGATAATCGTACCCATGGGTGAATCGGCCGACAGCTCCCCGAAGAGCTCGTCCTCTGGGAGATCCTGACGCGCTTGCCGGTGAAGTCCCTCCTATTGTGTCGCGCCGTCTGCACATCCTGGCGCCGTAGCCTCACCTCCGACACGGGCCTCCTCCTAGCGCACCACCGCCGCCAGCGGGCGCTCCAGCTCGTCACCACCGGGAATGACTACAAGGGCAGGATCGACGCACTTGTAGTCATCGCAGGCCTTAACCCCTTTCCATTAAAGCATAACGGAAATACAAAGTTCACCGAACACAGACCCAGCACAAACGACTACAGCATAAGGAAGCTAGAAAGGGGTAAGGCGAGATCAAGCACCACTAGGAAACCCACTATGAGCACTCGTCATCGAGCAGCCCATCGCGGGGCGAAAACCCAGTGACACCGAATATCACGCAAACCACTAGACCTAAACAAAACAAGGTAATCTCCAATAGGAACCATCACAGTACAGCACCACCAAGTCCGTAGGCCAACACAAAGGAGGGCAAAAGCACTCGTACAGGAGAGAGACTAAACTAAACTGGCACACATTGACTTGAAGCTTTTGCAATGGTGGAGAAGTCTCAGTTCGTCGTTGATGGAGGCGCACAGATCCTCATCATCGTCGAAGCATTCGACCTCAGCATCTTGGCTCCGCGCTCCATGGACTCCCGTTCCTCACCAGCCATCAGACCTGCCCAGTATGTCAAAAAGCCACAAGCAGCATACACCACATTAAAAGGACTTTTAAGAGATTTGTGTTCAAAGGTAGCCTAATTGCGACTGATCCAAATTGCCCAGCATATAGCTGTCAGTCCAAAAGTATAAAATTTAGCCCCATCAGGAAGGAAGATGTAACACCAGGAGAAGTACTGCCAAAGGTTGTTTGGACACAACAATGTGCCTAACACACCCCCAACCGTTCTCCAAACCACCCGAGCAACAGGACAAGTAAAGAAGAGGTGGTGCGAGGTTTCCACCTCATTGCAGAACGAGCACTTAGGATTTCCTGCCCATCTACGTCTTTTCATGACATCTCGAGTCAAAACCGCATCTTGGAACAATTGCCAAAGAAAGATCTGAATCTTAAGAGGGATTTTTGCTTTCCATATCCATCTGAAGTTACACCCCGCTAGGGTTCTCTCCAAATAGGTATAGACCGATTTGGTCGAGAATTTACCCTTTTCCCCCAACCTCCAGCTAATATGATCCGTCTCATCGGATAAATGCCAAGAGTTAACCACCTTAACAAGATCGTTCCACTGATCTGTAAGGGGAGGATGAAGGTTCCTTCTAAAAAGATCACTATCCTCAAAGTTTTTAAATTCAGCAACAGTAATCTCCTGATAATTACATATGCTGAATAAAGCCGGAAACTTAGTACGCAAGGGAGCATCACCCCTAATGGGGTCATTCCAGATTCTGGCTATATTCCCAGAGTTTAAAATCACTTCTCTACCCTCCATATATATCTCCTTTACTTTTACAATAGCTTTCCATATGGGGGAGTCCCCAAACTTACTCTTCACTGAGGGAATCGTGTCATTTTTAAAGTATTTAGCATGGATTATCTCCTGCCAAAGGCCTTGTTGGGTTTCCAGTTTCCACCACCATTTTGTAAGGAGACTGATGTTTTGCCTGTGCAAGTCTTTAACTCCCAAACCCCCTTTATTCTTAGTGGTGTTGCTTCCTGATGATAACTCTGAGCCAGATTGAGGAAGCAGATCTAGTTGTCCATGCCATCCAAGTTCACTGCACCGTAAACTGAGTGAGTGGCTCTAGGCTCTTAGTTGACGATCCTTATTATTCCTGGTTATCTGTGTTCAGTGTCAAGCAGAATCCACCGAAACTTGGCTATCTGAAATGAGATGTTGATGTTATAAGCAATTGCTAGCGGATAGCAAACTAGATGAAAATATTTATCTTGAGATAATCATATTGTACACCATAGTTTTGGGGCATATTCTCTATCGGTAGGTGTTGTGCCGATTGTCCTTAGTGTCCTATCCATACTTTTGATCGTGTTATTGTGTAGGCTTATTTCTTGTGTAGTTCTCATTTTTTTCCCAAATGCTTATGTTGTAACACATAAGCTTCATGAACTCTTGATTTTTGTGCTCTTGATTAAACTGCCGTATCTGCCCAAATTAAATGCCTCCTAATATCAGTCCTTGCTATATACTTTGTCTGTATTTGTTCTGTACTGGTAACCCTACTCCTACGGTAACAAGTAGCAATGTAGTGTTAATTCATAGTCCCTCCATTCCAAAATATTTGTCTTTCTAGAGATTTCAACAAGTAACTACATACGGAGCAAAATGAGTGAATCTACACTGAAATATTTCTGTATACATCCGTATGTGATAGTCCATTTGGAATCTCTAAAAAGACAAATATTTAGGAACGGAGGGAGTATGATATTTGATAGTCGTCTTCATAGCATGTTTTTCGTTTTGAAAAATATTGATTCCTGCTTTTCACCGTATTTATTGATTGTCTAGAAGTACCTATTCACGCACTTTGGTTAGCTTTTCTTGTAAATCTGTATTATCCTGACATAAGCATTTTTCCATGATATTCTTTCTGGTTGTCTTGAGATATATACCAAATGCAGCCCTAAAAGCAGACCCATGCATGTGTATGCATAGTAACATATTTGACATATGCCTTTCTCAATTTTTCTGTAACAAGTTTTTCTTACGGAAGTTTTATTAGGAATAGGACTATTATTCCCTAAGCCCGGATGAATGGCACCAACCCACCAGGTTCCCTTTGAAACCACTTAGCCCGGCCCGAGTCAAATACAAGGCCACTGTCATCTTTGAAACCACTTAATAACCTCAGAGAAGACCCCCAAGGTAGATGGTTTTAGAATGTTGAAGGACAAGGCTGAGAGGGCCAAATCTAAACAAAACATTTTTATCTAATTTCATCACCCCTACTGGCTGAAAGATCCTGCAAAAGTGTATGGGCAAAAGGTGTTGAGATCAAATGGTTACTTAATTTGTTTTCTGTACAAAGTACTGTGGTTTTCAAATGTCAGCTTGCTTATGGTATACAGTTGACACTGGTATCAGATAAAATGCACACACTCGTAATCTTCTTGCACCACACTGGGATCAGATTTTTGACAACAGGCTGTTTTATTTTTATTTCCAACATTGTACAGTAGACTGACTAAGATATAAGTAGGGAACATTCTGTAACGTGCTTATGGAAATTGAGAGCAGAACGGATAACAAAATTGACTCGAAGCATAAGCCCAGACCCTGAAGCTTCTGTTGGACGATGTGGTCTAACTTCTCGCCCATCTCGCGGCTCATGTGGTTCACCCAGTACCATACTTTTCCTTCTATAAAATGAGGAACTATTAAAGTAAACTTTGTTTCCGTAGCTAACGCCCGCAACCTGGTTAACTTTAGGCTGGTAAGCATCTCAAAACTGGAGAGTCTCACCACCTCTTGAGCAACACCAGAGCTCTCCTCCTCTTCAGTCAGTGGTACGCCGAGGAATTTAGCTAACTTCCTCACAACTTGCACGGGATTTGAGGACGTATTTTATACCGCAACATCTGCAGAACTAGTCCACTCCAGCCAAGTTCGTTATTGCAATGTGACCCGAGTGAGTGGCTGCAGGTTCTTAGTTGATGTTGTTCATTTCTGGTTATCTGTCTTCAATATCAAGCAGAATCCACCAAGTTTCAGATGTTTTTTCTTTTCTTTCATTTCCTTTATTATGAGCTATGTTGGCCATCTGAAACAAAATGTTTACATTGTGCCCTTTTTGATTATACCCCAAATTAGATGATAGTATTTGCCTCGAGATAAACATATCCGACACTTGATATGTAAACATTTTGTCGCTGCAAGTGTATTTTCAGTAAACATTCTGCTTGTTTTCCTCTGTGTCCTATCCGTAATCTCAATCATATTATTTTTTAGCCTCTCGTTTTGTTCTCATTTTCTATCACATTATTGTTTTTACCGAATAATCTTTGGCCTAGCACCTAACAAATTTTTGTTGAAGATTTCAGTATTTTGTGCTAATTTTGTCCCCTCTATGAACAACCTGACAAGTACAATAATAGGATTATGTGGCACATCACTTCATCTCACTGTAAACCTGCTATCCCAGAAGCATTTAGAGTCTGTAAGATATACAGTTTACACTCTTTCAGGTGAAATACAGACCACTAAAATCAGTTACTGAGCAGCTAGTTGTAGCAAATGTATTGGTGAATGAATCAGCGTATCCCACCCTATGAGGCCAGATGCTGTTTTATTATTATTCTCAAAATTAAACCACAATCAACATACCACGCGACACATGTGATAAGCAATCCAAACAATAAAAGAAAAACACAATCAACATAGGGCTCTCCTCTCACCAACCAGAAGCAGCAGAGTGCAAAGGAGCACAGAACACATGACAAATGACTCTTGCTCAAAACACGAGCCCGGAACCATGGAGCTTCTGCTGGACGATGCGGTCGAGCTTCTCCCCCATCTCGCGGCTCATGTGGTTCACCCAGTCCCCTACCTCGCCTTTCCTGTAGAACACAGAGTTATCAAAGTGAACTCTATTCCCGTGACTGACACCACCGACCTGGTTCACCTCCAGTCCGGTGAGCGTCTCGAAGCTGCACATCCTCGCCACCTTGTCCGCGACGCCGAAGCTCTCCTCCTGCTCGGTCAGCGGGACGCCGAGGAAGCTCGCGAGCCTCCTCACGACCCGCGCTGGGTCCAGCTTGATCTCCTCGTACTTGAGGAAGAGGATGGTGTCTGGCCTCGCCACGCTCTCCTCCTAGTACTCGAGGCAGTGCTCCCAGAAGGGGTCGTAGGGCGAGAACCCCTCGCAGAACATGCCGAAGGCGTCGTCCATCTACAGGCCGGCGCCGCCGCGCCGCGCCGCCAGCTTGTTCTCAAAGTGCAGCCTGGAGACTAGGTGCCGGACGCGGCCTTTCTGCTCTTTTTTGCCTTTTGTCGTTTTCTCCCCTGTTTGAATTTAAGTTGGATTTCAGCTTGAGACTTGCGGGTGTTTGGGGAAGGGGTGTTTAGTCTCGTTCGAACAATCTCTCGTGTTCTGGCTGCCGCTTTGTGCCCATCCAGCTTCAGCTGCCTCCCCTCGCGAGCCCCTCGCGAGTCGGGCCAGGCCCAGCGTGCGCGCAGCCCGGACTGCCGCCACCGCGCCTTCTCAGGAGGCTTTCGCTACAGGTTCAATGGATTAGTTCGGAAGGCACTCAGGACACCACGGCCCTCCCACGGGCTTTTGGCAGCAAGCTGTTTTAGTTTTATTTCCAACACTATACCACAGTCAACGCAGGGCTCTAGACATGGAAAAAATATAAGTAGGGAACATGCTGTAACGTGGTTATGGAAATGTGGGATTGAGAGCTCTTGCAGACTTAAAAGAAACAATTCAAGCTCTTACAGAAATGCAAAGGAGAACACAACACATAACAAATGGCTCTTGCTCAAAACACAAGCCCTGACCCCTGGAGCTTCTCCTGGACGATGCCGTCGAGCTTCTCTCCCATCTCGCGGCTCATGTGGTTCACCCAGTCCCCTACCTCGCCTTTCCTATAGAACACGGAGTTATCAATGTGAACCTTATTCCCGAGGCTGCCGCCGCCAACCTGGTTCACCTCCAGCCCGGTGAGCGTCTCGAAGCTGCACATCCTCGCCACCTTGTCCGCGACGCCGGAGCTCTCCTCTTGCTCAGTCAGCGGGACACCGAGGAAGCTCGCGAGCCTCCTCACGACCCGCGCGGGGTTCAGCTTGATCTCCTCGTACTTGAGGAAGAGGATGGTGTCTGGCCTCGCCATGCTCTCCTCCCAGTACTCGAGGCAGTGGTCCCAGAAGGGGCCGTAGGGTGAGAACCCCTCGCAAAACATGCCGAAGGCGTCGTCCATCGACGGGCCGGCGCCGCCGCGCTGCGCAGCCAGTTTGTTCTCGAAGTGCAGCCTGGAGACGAGCGTGTCCTTGGGGTCCCGGCACAGGTACACCACCCGGCAGCCCAGTGACCGCGTCTCTGGCGGGAGCAGCGACATGGGCATGTGCGTGGCGAGGAGCCTCGGGGATGGGAGCACGCCGAGGTCGACTACATGACCGCCGGCAGCACCAAGGATCTCGATGTACGGCACGAGGTGATGCGGGTGGCAGGTGAGGAGCGGGTGGTCGGCGCCGAGGCCGTGGCAGGACCGCGTGGTGACGGTGAAGGCAAGGGCCTTGAGCCAGGTGGTGCCACACTTAGGCTGGGTGGCGAGGACGACGTCGTCGGCGCGGGGCGTGAACGCCCGGCTGGCGAGCAGGACGCCCTCCAGGATCATCGGCTTGAACCAGAAGCCCTTGTACTGGATCATCGGCTGCGCCCACCCCTTGATGAGAGCGAGGATATGAAGTCTTTCAGGCTCTCATCGGATGGGGCGGCGTCTAACGGTGAGCTCTCAGTGGCGGTGGCGCTCTCTGGTGAACTCATCGGTGGAGGTGGAGTTGCCGGTTGGGCCATGGCTGGTGTGGGATGGGAGGCGAAACTGGCTGTCTTGGGCTCTTGGCTATGAATGGGTGTTGAAGAAGCTGGTTGGTGCGGTCACCACATCGAGCCGTTATAGTTTATGGAGGGAGCAGGATCTCGTGGCGCCTAAACTAATTACAAATTTACAACACGACGCATCCAGAACTTACTTTAATTCTGACGCATGCATGCATGGCTCCAACGACTCACACTAATCAGATCGTGCACTCCAAAGTGACATTGTCCCTTGAGATGATTGGATCGAAAATAAAGCTAATGTATCCCAACCAAAATATATATCCAAGTACATCTACTGGTTACATACATAACACTAGAAGAATGCAACAAACAGGACAAAGATTTCAAGAATATATTACAAGGTAGGAAGCATATCATTCTACGGCCATGCAAACGCAATAACACATCTCATCTTCATCAATCTTATTTCATCTCAAAGAACGGACGTCGAACAAATGTTGTCACGGAAACGATGCCGAGTAATTCACGTGCGGTTGTTGTTTTCGCCCTGGTCGCGTTTCACAAAATCCTAAAAGCTTGTCATCAATATCGTAGTGTAGAACACGCCCATAAAGCTCGATCAGCAACTCACGCTCGTTGAGCATAGCAATCCTCCTTAGACATCTCACCTTTAGATCAAGTTGTGGTTACACCTCCGGTGCCTACAAATCAATCCAAGACCTTAAGGCCAACCTTTACCTCATAATCCCACATCACAAAAGCACCTACAATATGATGCCATCAGAACCGGCACACGTCGCAAGCGCAATGCCTGAAGATAAAGTAGGGTTGGACAACGCATCGATCAGAATGTCTCAGCCACGGTGTTGAATACTATTTTTTTCTTCGAAAAGGGGCGCTTTATTACTTAAAAAATTTAAGCATCACACCCGGCCTCTGCATAAGTAAGATGCACACAGCCAAGCAAAGTCCTCACACAGAAACAAAAAATAAAAAGGCAAAATACAAAGAAACATGTAGAGTCCGTATAACACCTAAAGCACTTGAACTTTCGATTATATTAGTATAATTGAATTTCAAATTCAAATAATTTCAAAATAGACACAGATAGCACTTGAACTTACATTTATCATAAAAGAGCTACTAGCTTAGTGGAACATTGTCTACGCGCATGCTGTGAGGTGCTACCACACTTTACTATACATTGAGCGTTTGTATTCAAAAAATTCAAAAAGATCGAAATTTGTTGCTGGAAATGCCCATTTACCGAGGGGGACTGAAATATGCGGTAACCATGGTAAATCTCAAAATTTCGAGCGGTAACCAAAACCCTGATCAACATACGGTATAGGGCTCTCCCCAACAAGAAGAAGCGGAGTGGAAAGGAAAACAGAACAGATAACAGATGACTCTTGCTCAAAACACAAGCCCAGACCCCTGGAGCTTCTCCTAGACGATGCGGTCGAGCTTCTCCCCCATCTCTCGGATCATGTGGTTCACCCAGTCCCCTACCTCTCCTTTTCGATAAAACATGGAATATAAATATAAACATTATTCCCATGGTCAACCCCACCGACCTGGTTCACATGTAGCCCGGTGAGCTTCTCGAAGCTGCACAGCGTCGCCACTTCCTCCGCGACGCCGGAGCCCTCCTCCTCCTTGGTCAGCGGGACGCATAGGAAGCTTGCTAGCCTCCTCACGACTCGCGTCGGGTCCTGCTTGAACTCCTCGTACTTGAGGAAGAGGACGGTGTCCGGCCTCAACATGCTATCCTTCCAGTACTCGTGGCAATGGTCCCAGAAGGGGCTCTTGGGTGAGAACCCCTCGCAGAACATGCCGAAGGCGTCTTCCATCGATAGGGCCGAGTGATCCTGATCCACCATGTTCTCGAAGTGCAGCCTGGAGACGAGTGTGTCCTTGGGATCGCGGCACAGGTACACAAACCGACAGCCGAGCGACCGCGTCTCCGGCAGGAGCAGCGACATGAGCATGTGCGTCGCAAGAAGCCTCAGGGATGGGAGCACATCGAGGTTGGCGTGGTTTCGGCCAGCAACACCAGGGATCTCGATGAATGGCACGAGGAGTGGGTGGTCGACGGCACTGAGGCCATGGTGGGACCTAGTGGCGATGGCGAAGTCAAGGGCCTTGAGCCAGGTGGTGCCGCACTTTGGCTGCGTGACGAGGATGATGTCTTCTGCTCGGGGCATGAAGGCCCGCCTTGAACGCAAGACCCCCTCCAGCATATTCTGGTTGAACCAGTAGCTCTTGTACCGGATGAGCGGCTGCGACCACCCCTCCCTTGATGGGAGGGAGGATATGAACTCCTTGAGGCTCTCTTTCGATAGGGCGTCGTCCGGCAAGCTCTGGGCAGTGGCGCCCTCAGGTGAGCTCGTCGATGGCGGCAGAGAGGTGGCATCTGATCACCGGCAGAGAGGTGGCTACCATGGTCATCGTGGTGGTCGCGGTGGGAGAAACCGTTACCGCCAGCATCCTCCGCCGCCGGTCATTGTGGAACCGACGGCCTCCTCGGAGGTGGCTGCTTCCGGACAGATGCCGGAATTGTCCGGTCAGGCTATGGAGGTCGTGACGGCGCTGGCTACTGCTGAGATCCCTGTGACAGAGCCAGTGGCGGCGGGTGCTTTAGGTGCTGTTGATGGTGAGAGAGCTTCCAAGTGGGCTTGGAAAAAGGAGAAGATGTTATGTTATCAATGTGGTGAGAGGGGCCACTTTATTGCTGAATGTGTGACCGAGTTATGTGATACTTGCCTCAAACCAGCGCATGACACGGGAGAGTGCCCGATACTGAGAAATCAGATGTCGGGTATTACTATTTGTGGAGTATACTGTGCCGAGGTGATCTTCTCTAAGTCTCCTTGTGCGAGGGAGGTGCCAGAGGAGGCCCAGAGCACGACTACAGGGGTGGTCGAAGTCACGAAAGGTGACGTGTCTAAGGCTTAGATTATGCAGAGGCTTAGGGAGTTAGTTCCAGGTGATTTTTTGTGGGAGCTTATTCGACTCGAGGCCAACATATATAAGGTTGGACTTCCCTACTACATAGGACTTGGAGCATCTTCTCAGCTTTGGGCTATGCCGAGTTCCTGGCACAGAGTGCATTCTTGAGTTTCACGAGTGGAAGAAGGTAGAGCCACAGGGTAAGCCTCTCACTTAGGTCTGGTTGCATTTTTCGGGAGCTCCGTCGAGGCTGATTCGGGACGCTCGGGTCGCTGCAAGCTTGGGGATTCTGGTCGGGAAAACTGAGAGAGTGGACATGGCCTTTACCCGAGCTAACGGCGTGGCCCGACTACTGGTGAGTGTTCTGGACATTGAGCTTGTGCCTGACGTGGTCAAGTGGACACATAAGGGCCTCATTTATAACCTTGACATTGAGTTTTAGGACTCTGAGTTTTTCGCTGAGGCTCTGGCAGGGACTGATGTGGACATGCAAGATAAGAATGATGGTTTGGGTAATTCGGAGGAGCGAGGGGAATGCTGGGCATGAGTTGCCCAATGGCCCGGGTACTGACCCTCAGATGCCCGGGAATGGGGTTGCACCCTCTACGTCGGTGCCTATGAGTACTTTGAGATTTGGTTCTTTTCAGCCAGCTTCCGCGCCTCCCAGGCTATGGAGCGATATGGTGGATTCCGAGGATGTGCTAGAACGCATGCTCCCTCCACTGGACTTTGCTGAGGTAGATGGTTCTCTGGAGGGGAGGGCCGAGCTTGGGCAGGTGGCCCCCTGTTCTCCCACCACTACTGCTGGTTCGCCGCTCGGGAGGACTCCGTCGAGACTTGCCGCAGAGGTGTCGGTGTGCCGAGCGGTGACAGGGCCGGTTTGGGAGGGGGACCTGGGCAGGAGGCCTCGGCTCCCTCTTCTCCCGCGGTGGTCAGGGTGGCCGAGCCTGTGGCATCGATCGACTACCAGCTGACACCGACAGGGTTGGCCCCGATGCTCTCCGGCCTGAGGGCCGGGACAGGTGAGGAGCGGGGGAAGGTGGCCCCAGCCTTCACTTCGCCTCACGGGACTCCAGGTGGGGAGCTTGGGCAGGTGGCCCAGCACTCACTAACCCCGCGCTTGCCAGCGGATCGCGGTCACTCGAAGATTGTAGCGGCTTGGCCGTGCGTTGGGGGTGGGGCAGGAGGCCTTACCCCAAATGGGCCGTCTCGGGAGGAGGTCGTTGCTTTTGGAGGTATTCCGGATCCTTTGTCTGAGGGAAGACGGATGAGCTGTCGCCTCCAGGACCAGCCGGATGTTGATGATATGCAGCTGAGGTGCGCCATGCGGGAGGCCAAGCTTCGTGACATTGAGGTCACTACTGGTATGTCAGTCAACACTTCCAATTCCATTATGCACTTTTCAAATGATGAGATTATTCACAATGCAAATCATTTAGGAGTTTCACTAGGTAGTAATGATAGTGAAATCTCTAAATCCGTTAATGATATCCTCGACCTGGAAACGGAACATGCTTTAGAGTTGATTCGCAACTTAGGTGCGGTCAAACCTATGAACGATTCTGACATAGATGCTTTGGGAGTCAGGGTGCTGGATACTTTCTGTGCGGATCCTGCCACATCCCTCCTTGAGATAGAGGAGGATGATGGTTCTATGACCCTAAGGGATGTTGCCTTGGTCGAGGGGTAGGTTGTTAGATACACGGAGACCGGTTGTGAGGACCGGATAGAGGATCAGACCAAGCCTAAACATAAATGGAGGCGAAAGATTTATCCAGCATCCGCGGTGCGTAGAAGTGCTAGGGTCCGCACTACTAAAAAATTCCATGATGAATTATGAGAGGCATCTTTTGGAATAGCAGAGGTCTGATGGACTTGGCTAAAAGAAGGTTTCTAGCAGATGCTTCCATTGAGCACAGGTTGGATTTTATCGCCATCTCTGAAACAGGAAGAGACAATTTCTCTCCTCGATTTCTTAGAACTTTATCGGGAGGCTTCGATTTTGATTGGCACTGCCTTCCCCCAAGAGGAAGATCAGGGGGGATCTTACTTGGGGTCAGATGCGAGATGTTGGAAGTCCGAAGTGTGGTTATGGGGGATTTCGCCGTCAAATTTCGGGTTGGATCCAAGATCGATGGCTTTAATTGGGAACTCGTAGTGGCATATGGGGCCGCGCAGCCGGAGAAAACCAGACTTTCTGGCTGATCTCGTCCGTATTTGTGGGTCTGAGCAGCTTCCAATCTTGGTTGGGGGTTACTTTAACATTATTAGAAGGAGAGAAGCAAAGAATAATGATAATTTTGGCGCCAGGTGGTCGTTCATGTTTAATACCATTATTGAAAGCTTGGATCTCAGAGAGATAGGGCTTTTGGGTTGAAAATTCACTTGGGCTAATACCTTGCAAAACCCGACATGAGAAGCTAGATCGAGTCCTAGCGAGCGTCGACTAGGAACAGAAATTCCCTCTGGTAACAGTCCAAGCATTATCTCGTGGAATCTCTAACCATACCCCTCTGTTGGTTGACTCTGGCGAGGCAACGCATGTGGGTAATAAAAACACCTTTTCTTTTGAACTAGCGTGATTTGAAAGAGAAGGCTTCCTGGATCTGATAGCCAAGGAATGGGCGAAAGATGCAGGGGGGAGGTCATCTATTGAGAGATGGCAGAATAAGATTAGGAACTTGAGAAGTTCCTTGCTAGGGTTTCCCCCACTCCCCTCGCGCGCCCCTCCTC